CTGCGACGGGCGCGGCGGAAGAGACATGGCTTCAGCTCACGGGCGAAGGGAGCACATATGAAAACATGTGGTGGGGATTCGCGGGTGACATAAACCCAGGTAAAAACACATGGCATCAGCTCACTGGCGAATGGAACCCATACGAGAGAGCGTAGGGTCAGCTCGCGGGCGAAAGGAACCGATGCAGAAACACGCAGTGGGAGTTCCTCCTCCTCCTCCTCCTTCTCCTCCACCTCCTCGTCCGTCTCCTCCTCCTCCTCCTCCTCCTCCTCCTCCTCCTCCTCCTCCTCATCCTCCGTGCAGACGAGGCCGAAGCCCGAGAGGCCCCAAAGCGAGGGATGCGCAAAAAGGCGGGGGAATCTGGAAGGGTGGGCTGGCCTAGGGTCCAGGCCCCCGGTAATTATGCCAGCAGATTGTAGATCGGTGGATTGCTAAAAGGTAAGCTTTCCAACCACCCCTTCTCCACATCCGAGACAACGCGTTTCGCGGACTTGCCTGGACAAAAAACGACACGTTGGACGCACACGGGGGGCCTCCACCCAGGGGGGAGCCCTGCACACCCGCCTCCCGAACGGCCCCACAAAGAGGGGACGGGAGGGGGGGGGGTTCGAACCAAGGGGGGGGTTGTTCATGGTGGAGGGGAAATTCGAATCGGCCCCTCCCCCCTGACTTGAACTTGGGGGGCGTTCGAACCGTGGGCGGGAGGGGGGGGGGCCCTGGAAAAGGAGAAGGATTCAAAACAGTGGGGCGGGCCCCCCCGCTGAGGTGCAAGAGGGGGATTCGAACTGGGCCTCCCTCGATTCGAATCGCACCCCCCGTCGTCGTCGCTGGTCGCCGTCGCCGTCGCCGCCGTGGGGTCGTCGTCAGCAACGTCGTCGTTGCCGGAAAGCGCTGGCGCCAGCGCCAGCTGTCGCCGTCGTCGGTTGCAAGGGGAGGGCGCCTCCCGTCGTCGCTGCCACACAGCGCCAGCGCCGGCACGGGCGCTCGCCGTCGTCGGTTGCAGGCGGGGGGTGGGCCCGGCCCTCCCGTTTTGACCCCCCCTTGGAATAAAGGGGGGTAGGCCCCACGGTTCGAGACCTCCGTCCCCTTGGACAAAGTGGGGCACCCCCCCTGGTTCGAACCCACCCCCGCCCATGCAACTCAGGGAGGGAGGCCGCCCCCTGGCTCGAGTCCCCCTCTTGAGCGCCCCCCCCCTGGTTCGACCTCCCACCTTCGCAACGTCCACTGTCCCACATCCGAACAACAAGGAAACCGTAGCGAGACCTTGTACAACAAGTGGGGGTGGGAGCTCACACCCTGCTTGGGTTCATGGCTTCCCCCCTAAACCGAATGTCCCTATTTGGCATCCAATGACCGCCCAAGGCTTGGCTTTCTCGGCCTTCCCAACGGCTTCCCGCCTCACTGACGCTGTGTCCTATTTTTTCATGATTTTCTGCTCGTCTCCTGTGGTTTGGCCCCTTGGCTTCTCGACCCACTGGCCCTGTGTCTCGCACTTCTTCCAGTGGCCGCTTGGCATCCCAAGGCTTGGCTTTTTCCCGTGGAATCCCGTCCACTTGCCACGTTGGCCTTGTTCCCCTGTATTATTCCAGCGGCCGCTGTGTGTCTTCCAAAACTTGGCCTCATGGCTTCCCGATGGCTGGCCGACCCGCTGGCCTCTTGTTTTCCGCACATCGAATGTTTGATGCTTGGTCCGTAGCCTCTGGCTCAAGCCGTCTCGGCTCCAGCACGCCCCCGGTCCAGGCACGCGCAGAGCCCAGTCCTCGCTGCCCTGCGATGGCTCCCAGCGCCGGCGGCCCCACCGGCGCCGCCCTGCGGCGGCGCCAGAGCGAGCCTGGCCGCCGCCGCCCGCGACGGGCCGCCCAGCCTGGGCACGCCCCTTGCGGCCGCTGCTGCCGCCGCCGCCGCCTCCCCCCCGGAGGCCGGCGCGCAGGCGGCGGCCGGCGGCGGCGGCGGCTCGGCCTCCCCGGCCGCGGCTGCCCCAGCTGCTGCTGACGCTCTTGCCGCTGCCGCCTCCACCCCCGGAAGCTGGCGCGCGCGGCGGCGGGCGGCGGCGGCGCCCCTGCCGCCCCTGCTGCTGCTGACGTCGCCGCTGCACCGGACGCCCGGGGGTGAGCGGCGGCGGCTGGCGGCGGTGCCGCGGCTGCCCCGCCCTCGACTGCCCCTACTGTTGCGCCCTGCTTGCGGCGGCGGCCTGCAAGGGGGCTGGCCCCCCAGCGCGCTCGCCGCCGCTGCCGCGGCCGCCGCCGCCGCGGCCGCTTCCGGGGGGCCTCGGGCCGAGGCGGACCTCGCCGGCCTCGCGGCCGCCTTCGCTGCCACCACGTCGGCTGGCGCGGCTTCGCTGGCAGCAGCTTCAGCTGCTGCCGCGGCCGCCGCCGCTGCTGCTACCAGCCCCCCGCCAGCGGCGGCGGCGGCTGAGGGCGCGCGGTTTGGCATCGCGGCGGCGCCTGACGGCGCGCCCACACCTGGATACGGAGTCACACTTGCGGCTGACGGCGCACCCGACTGCACGCCCACTCGCGCGGAGGTGGAGGGGGGGGTGGAGGAGGGAGGAGGATCCCAGGACCCCCAGAGAAAGGACACTCCGTCCCGCTGGCAACCCATCCGTCGACATGGATCCGGCGCCGCCAGGAAGGCTGTTTGCCGCTCCCGTTTCGTCTTCCAGGGCCACCCCTCAGTCCTATTCGCGCCTGCGGGTCGGCGTCGCGAAGGCGGCTGAGAGCACGGAGACGACGACGATGACGACGCCATTCTCGGAGAAAGGACAGTCCGCCCCGTCGTTGCCCTGGCCGCTGACTGGGGCCCGCTGCCGCAGGAAAAACTGGTTGCAGCTCTTGTTTCGTCTTCCGAGGCTGCCCCTCAGCCCCATCTGCGCCTGCGGGTCGGCGTCGCGACGGCGGCTGAGAGCACGCCCGCGCCCGAGGGCAACGACGACGATGACGGCGCTACTTTATGGGAAAAGGACAGCCCGTCCTGCCGGGAAACCCGTCCGTCGGCCAGGACCCGCCGCTGCCAGGGTATTTGCGCGCCGCTCCCGCTTCGTCTTCCAAGGCCCCGCCCCCTCCTATCCGCGCCTACGGGCTGGCGTCGCGACGGCGGCTGAGGGCGCGCCCGCGCCTGGAGACGACGACGACGACGACGACGCCGACGCCGCTCTCGAAGAAAGAACAGTCCGCCCTGTCGTTGCCTGGCCGCTGACCAGGACCCATTGCCGCCAGAAGAACTGGTTGTCGTTCCTGTTTCGCCTTCCCTCGGCGCCGGGAGCCTCGGCCCCGGCGCCCCCGACGCGGGGGGCCAGGCCGAGGGGGGGGCCGCGGTCGCCGAGGAGTGCGCGGGGGCGGACAGGGGGGGGGGCGAAGAGAGGGGGGGCACCTGGCCGCCCTCTGCCCGCGTCGGGCCCGCGGGGCCCGACGCGGAGCGCGACCCTCTCTCGCCCGCTTGCCGCCGCATTCCGCGGCTCACCTGGAGCGCGCGCCGTGGAGGAGGGAGGGGGAAAAAGGAAAGGGGCATTTGGTGACCTTCTGCCCACGCGAGTTCCGTCGGGGGCCCGCGCGGTGCAAGACCCCGAATTCCGCCCGCAAGCTGCGACATTCCGTGGCTTCCGTAGAGAGAGTAGGAAAGAAGGAGGAGTTGGAGGCATCCGTTTGCCTGGAGGCCCTCTGCCGGCGCCGGGCCCGTCGGAGCCCGAACAGCATGCGGATGTCGCGGTCAGCGGTTGTCCTGCAAAAGGGAACCCCCCTTGTTTGGCCTTGCCCCACCTCTCCTGGCGCTGGGTCCGCCGGGGCCTGACGCCCGCGATTTCCACCGGCAAATTGCAGCGCTCCGTGGCGGAAGGGGGCCCTGACCCCACCTTGCCCGGCTACCTTTCCGCTTTCTCCCTCGCAGCTCCTCTTCGGCAACGGGCGCCCGCCAGCGCCAACAGCGGCGGCGGCGACGCGGCCGCGCAGGGCGCGAGGCCAGCGCCGCCCAACAGTCCAGGCACGCCCACAGGCGCGGCCCCGGCGCCGCCGCGGCCGAGAGCGAGGCGCCATCGGGTGCGACGACGCACCGCGGCGGCCCCCCTGCAATTGCCAGCGCGGCTGGCCCCGCCGCAGGCGCGGCCCCGCTCGCGGCCCCCCCCGCGGGCCCGGCCGTCGCGCGCGCGGGGCGAGGCCACGGCCCGGCCCTGCGCGATGAACGGGGCGGTGGCGCGGGAGGCCCTGGCGCTCGAGCCCGCCCGAGCGGCGAGAGCAACAAGGATCACGAGAGAGACGACGCGAAGATCAACATGCACCCGCACCGAGCGAAGCCCTTAAACTTTCGACGAGTCGAATCGAACCCCTGGAGGGTTCCAAAAGGGGTTGTAGGAAAGGGGGGGTTCTCACAAAAGGTCCCAGGGGCTTCGTGTGCACATCATGGCTGCGTCGCACTGGATGGCCACGGCTGGGGCAACTCGGAAACCCGCACTCGTCGTTGCCATAGTCGCAGCGGCCTTCGCACGAATGCCCGTGCAGTCGCACGGCGAAAATCCACGAACGCTTACATCACGAATGCATGTTTACTGCACAGTGCCTGGCGCCATGGGAAAACCAGCGCGTCAAAAACATGGGGGGCGCACGCCCGTAGGGTTACATTCGCTGTGAGCCCGTCACACCTGCTTCAGCGCATGTTTCAATGCCTCGAGGGCGCCCTCCTTCGACGGCGCCCGAGACTTCGTAAATGTACACGGCGGCGTGGGTTTCCCAATATACTTGCCACGCCACGGCATGTGCCAATTGCATTCCTTGACAAGCGAAACGCCCATTACTGTCGGCAAGTATGCCGAAGCCCACCCGGCGGTCACCTCGGGGGCCGGGTCGACGCGTCCAGCATCCACAGCTGGGATCGCGGCGGCACGATGCCCCTTCGACGCGGCAGCTCCACCTTTCGCCTTGGCGACATGGCGTTCGACGATGTCTCCTTCATCGACTGGGTGCTTTATCTCTTTCACTACACCGTCTTTTAAAAGCTCGCTGTCGCAACCC